CAGTTGGTATAGGAAAGGGTTAAAGTTTAACTCAGCACAGAAAGAGGCATAAAGAATGAATTTTAGGGAACACTTTTGCATATTCAACAGATCTAAGCCTTCAAGGATACGTCAGATTCTGAGTTCAAACACACCTTTGTAAAAAGGTGTAACTGATACTTAATGTATCAAATTAATAAGACTAAGTTTGATACTTGCGAATCTCGGCTGTCGGAAAGAGATTCCTGATCTTAAGGCCCCAGATCTTGCTGAAATTAGTTGATGAAAAGAACCAGTTTGAGTCAGAGAGTCTTTGGTGAATGGAAAGTCGAGGCCGAAAGGCCTGGCACAAGCTTTGGTATCCTGAAGCGTTCTCTCACATTTTCATCTGCATCTGACCAAACCACCGACTGGGGCGTATATAAAAAGAGAATATATAGTGTGTTGGATTGGTCCAGACGCTACATTACAATGCTTCATGTGACTGTAGTTCTTTCCCTTATTGAAACTGGTGTTGCCAAGTCCGCGGTTTTCCAGAAGAATTAGGCTACTTTAACACTGTTGCCGCGACCCCAATAACGTGATATTTAGCCTCTGGAATGCAAATTTTACCAGAGGAACTCTGCCAAAAACGTGTATTTTACCCCCGGGAATGCGATTGGGCTAGTTTTGAGTAGCAATTGGGCGGGTTTTGTTGTGAAAACCTGGCAACCCTGAGTTTGCGCAACGTAAAACATATTCCAGTAGATTTGACAGGACTAATCCTCTTTTGTCCGTTGCCAGCTGTAAAGTTATATTTCTTATTCAAGGTTCCCAGATAATCCCAGATAAATCACGAAACCATCCTGTCCCAACCCTGAATTTAATCTTAATCATTACTGGCAAAGCTTATAAAAGATAATACTTCAGTTTTTATGTGTATGTTAGCGTATGTGTGTACTGTGCCCATGATGCATATTTCGTCATCAGCATAGCATGCGCATATTATATGCTCACAGTCCAGTTTTTCTAACCATGCATAGTCTGTTTGAAGAGTGCCTGTGTAAGTGAGATACCCGCAACTGTAGTTAAAAAGAGTATGAAGATGATTTTGATCGCTCATAACTTCTGAAGAGAAATAGTGCAGACTCTGGAAAAACTTTTGAGCGCACATATGTTGGACGCATGTGTTCATGCACATGATCAAATGTAGTATACGCTGAAGTGCTATGTGTTTGGCTGTATGTATAAGTTATGCGTTCACGTCAAAACCGAAGTATGATTTGAGATAAAGTCAATGAGATCTTTTTACCAATTTCTTGTCAGCCAGGAAAAATGATTTGCCTAGAAAAGTTATAGCTCACTACTCCGCATCAATCCACATGATTTGAGGTATGATTCAGGACCATTTGCTTGCCAAAATGTAATACTAAGGTTTAGGGTTTTTGTACGGAGCCTATATAGGGACATGGTTATAGTAAAAAATTGAGATGGGAGAAAACATTATATTTCAATGCTTTGCATTCTCTTGGAAAATGTTAGCACACAAAACTTTTGTGATGGAAAGTTTCATGAGGGAACACAATAGTTTTGTCAGAGAATGCAAATGTTTTGCATGAAGAAAATAAAATAATTGCGTGAAAAGAGCTGAAATATAATTTTTACTCCAATTTCATATTTTTTTCCATCACAATGTCCCCTAAGGGCGGGATCCTCAAATCTGGCCCACAAGATCCAATTTCCTGCAGTTTAGCTCCAACCCTAATCAAACACACCTGAGCATGCTAATCACTGTCTTCAGGATTATTAGAAAATCACAGCTAGGTGAGTTTGAACAGGGGTGGAGCACATTGGCCCTCCAGGGCAAGATTTGAGGAACCCTGCCTTAGGGGCTCTGTAGATTCGAAAGCCATGGAGCAACAGTTAGCAGTGAGTCCAACCTGTGTTGTTGTAACAATCGGCCTAACTGTCAGATGTTACATTATTATTATTATTTTAAAAATTATTTACAGGTTTTACCAATAACTCAATGCAGGTTTTAGATCAGAGCTGTTTTCATGTGTACTGTTTAATCAGAGGATTGTCTTTTATGTAGTGTTTCATCACCCGCACCCCAGACTAATCAAATAAGTCCATCAGTGACCCACAAGTCATGAGACTCCATGATGAAAGCAATCGCTAATTATGATCTATGGGCTGATCCAATGTGATGTAATCCCCTTCAGGTCAAATACCAAACCACTCGTTTGCTTTCATACTCTTGCGGTTCAAGCTTTCTTCAATATGTAACAGAGATACACTACATGAAAGATCTTCCCATGACTGAAGATGAACACAATTATGAATGAAAAAATACATCCAAGTTCAACACATGCAGCAACGATCCCTTTTCATGCTGGGCTGCTTCTAAATGCAGTAGCTTTGGGCTCGAATCCTAGTTCAAGTTAAAACAGAGGTGTTTGCAAAAGTAAAAATGCCAACTTATATTACTCTCACCCATTACCAACCCAGCAGCCGCCCGGCTCTCATGTGCCCCCTTCATAAATTGGCTTCACATCAGTTCAGATGCTTAGATGGGACAGCTGTGTGGGGCTTTGCCAAATATTTAGAGCTATCCCATAACAAGAAAAGACAGCAGCAGATGAAACACATTAAAGCAGCTAGAGGAACCCATAAAATGCTGTTTTCTTCCTTTCGCTCTCAGGATGGGCCAAGGAGACCAGAGTGTTTCTGGATTTATGGTCCTCTCTAAAGACAGACTTCCTCGCTCAGCTGCGTGTTCGCCCCGGGCCGACGTGGGGGCCATTAAAACCATCAGGTCTTTGAGTTTTCACCACCCTCTGTCAGATAACGCCGGAGGAGAGGAACGTTCGGGAGTCTTTTCAGCCGTTTGCACGCACAATGGGTCAGAGCAGCTTTGAGTACTTACACCAGTTCTGGTCCTGAAGTCAATTCTGATCTTAGTGCATCGTAAACAAAGGAAAATATACTGTATCTCAAAACCTTCTTCCCCAGTCCGAAAAGAACATTTATTTAAACTTGGCTGCAAAATTTCTCATTCTGATATCTGCAACTTTTTTAAACTTTGCAAACAAATGACAAGCAACAATTACATGTCAACTATTTGGCATTCAGACACATGTTACGTGCTGAAATGCACTATAATTCCCAATAGTAAACTCACAATTGTATAATGTTATTATTATTATTATTATTATTATTTTATCATTTAATGGCAGTTATTAAAATAAATATTTAATGTAGTAACCAAAATAATCCTTTTATCTTCTGTATGAAGCCACAGCTTTTTATTTTATTTTATTTTAAAATCTGTATTATTATATTTTATTTCATTCTATAATTTATGGCCATTATTAAAAGAAAACCAGATAAATCATTATATATATATATATATATAAATGTATGGTAGCTATTAAAATAACTACTCAATGTAATGTAGTAGTTACTTATTTATTTATTTGACTTACTCTATGTAGTAACCATGAAATGTATTTTTAATTTATAAGTTTTAATTCCTTATTTTATTTTTTATGGCAGTTATTAAAATAAACACCCAGTGTGGTTACCAAGACCAATCATTTTAAATTTCATATAATTCCCTTTTTTATTTTATTTTATTTTTAATAATTTATGGCAGTCAGATATTTTATTTTTTTAGATCATCACTTGTTGTTGTAAAAAGTGTCCATTTGTTGTGTTGCTATAAAGTGTCAAATTTTTTTTTTTTTTTGCATTTTTATGTACATTTAAACTTTTTTGTGGTTGCAAAAACAACAACAAAAGTTTAAATGGACATTTTAAAAATGCTAAAAAAAATTAATAAAAAAAGGACACTTTATAGCTAAAGAACATACTGGTGTCCTCTCCTCTAAAGACTACTAAATTAAACCAAAAAGTAGTGCCTAATGATTACATAATAAGCCAGAGTTTACACAGAGATTGAATTCTTCACACCCAGAGGTCGAGCTGATCTGATCTTTCCATGTATCTGGTGCAGGAGTGTCAGACCTGGCTCAAACTCTGCTCTACAAACACGCTGCAAATCTCCACATGCAGCAGCTGCAAACGTCTTAAACCTCTGGAAGTCACACTTAATTCTGAAGGTATAAGATCCCCATGCCTCTCCCTGCGTAACTGCCAAAGACACAAGCTTCCATACAATGGCACTCAATGGTGGGTAAAATGAGCCAAATTAGCGCCACAGACTGCTGGAGAACAATGTGCCGCTTTGTGAAACGCTACGTGTTTAACATACGCAGTGTGTGTTTGCAGAAGAAAGCCATGCAGTTTCGAACAGTTACACAGAGAGATGTTTATTACCTATGCCTGTGTTCTGACTTGTAAAAAAGAGCCATTTATTTGATTGTAAAACACTGCTGTATGAATCACCAAGACTGAGTGGGTCGTCATCTCACAGATTATTATTAATGCAACTGTTTGTATGATGACCCCTTTTAAAGGATTACACTAAAAATATCTGTCATCATGTACTTTATTATGTATGTTTCTGATTCTAAGTGAGAGAGAACTGAGGCTACAGACCTCCAAAAATTGACAAAAAACACCATAAAAATCCGAAGTCATCATTCATTGATAATCTTGCCCTCCGCAATAGCTCGCATTCACATGTATTCAAACTGGCACGCTGCATTCAGTTACGACACATGAAATATAGTGCACAAGTCAATGGTTGTTAATGGTATGGAAAAAAGTGGCTAGGACATTCATCAAAATATTTTCTTTTATGTTATGGCATTAAAGGAGGATTAATACAGTTATATAAAAAATATAATAGTGTCTCAATGATGCTAAAATAACAATGCATGAGAGTAAATGATGGGAGAGTTTTCACTAAACAAACCTTTTAAGGACATTATAAATGACGTTTACCAGGTTTACCAAATCAGCTAACACTGTGATCTGACGCCGATGTATTTTTCCTAAGGAAATGAATCCACTGGACATTTTCCTCAAGGATTCTAATATGTTTGCATTCAGCAGTAATAAATAAATGTGCTTACAATTTGGTTCATATGGTGGTGGCGGATCTCCACATGGGATACACTCCATATCCTGGAATCCACTCAACTTCGTCTTTCTGTAAAACCTGAAAGAATAAAATGTATTTTAATTTATTTTTATATGCATATTAATATTATTATAGATAATGCATTATTTAATTTTGGGGACGACAAACATTTACATTCAAAATGTAAATTAAAGGGGTCATATGACGTTGCTAAAAAAGAACAGTATTTGGTGTAATGAAATGTGTTTATGCAGTTTAAGGTTCAAAAAACACATTATTTTCCACATACTGTACATTATTGTACCTTCCTGAAACGCATCGATTTTTGCAAAGCTAATCGGTCTGAAAAGCGAGGTGTGCTGTGATTGGCCAGCTATCCAGTGTGTTGTGATTGGCCGAATACCTCAAGCGTGTGACGGAAATGTTATGCCCCTTACCATACTGTGATGCCGTGTCCTGGCCGGAGCGACGAGACAAAAACATTAAAGCCCTTTACAAACGAGGCATTTGTTGCATGCAGTCGGGACATAATTACTGATTATAATGACTTATACTGTGTTTTTACGTGTTGCGTTGCATCGCGCCGTGTAAACATAAAACCATGTCTGCATTTGTGATCGGAGAAATGACAAACAACAAGCACTACTCTACACTGCTCAAAACTCATGTTTGAATCATCAGAGGCAAATCCTTTAAATATGAAAACGTACTTATAGGCTGTGAGTCAGCATTATTTGTCAGAACACCGGCATTGTAGGCTACTCTCCCAGGAAACAGTCATCGTCCTCCGTAAAATGCGCTGCACACATCTGAATATTTGGGTTGAACAGTTCTGGAACAGTGTTGTAAATACAACTTAACCACTGATTTCTAGTTGTGTCCTCTTTTGGAAGGCCAAACAAGTAGTTTCGCTTTCATAACAAAACACAGCGCCTTCATGATATGGTGGCAGCAACAATACTACAGCGAGAATAAAAGTTATTTGCGTGAATATTTGGGCGGTGTTATTCAAATCTTCCCACACAGTGATGTAGACATGTGGGGGCGTGTTTAAACGAAGCGTTTTAGGAGGGCGTGGACGAGTCTTAACTTTGATAAAGAATATCTCTTTGGTTTTGAGACTTTAGTCTTTGCAACTTCAGGGATCTTATCTATTCACGAACAGCTTGTAACACTCCAAAGAGAAAGGAAAACTTGAAATCACATCATATGACCCCTAATTACATCATATAACAATTAATTATTTAAATAATACTGCATACTCGACCATTCAAAAGTTTAGGGTCAGTTTATTAAAGAAATCAGCGCTTTTATTCAGCAAAGATGCATTAAATATCTCAATTAAAGTCACAGTAAAGACACTTATACTACGAGGCCGTTGAATGCTTGAATCTGATTGGCTGACGAACGTTCTGAGGTGTGCAATTATTTTTAGGGAAACGCACGGCGAACGTAGTTCCAGGCAGCTCTCTTGACCGCATTACAGTTCCATATCACTTCGCATAGTTAACTGTAATAATGGAAATTAGCATACAGTACCTATACAGCACACATGAATTACTGCAATCACACGTGCTCGCATAAGCACACTACGGTCACGCAGTTTGCACAAGAAGGTGTTGTCAGCGCTGCCCTGACGATTTTATCAGTTAGCCTATATAGTGTAGCAACTTAAAGACTACACATGACATTTCACACTAGAAAGGTAATAACAGTGCTGTTTAGAGACGCTGCTGCAGAACACTGTTGAGGGACGCACAGAGCTAGCCTAGTTCACACAAGCTCTCTCACTCTCTCTTTCTTTCTCTTTCTCTGTGTGTCTCTGTCTCTCTCGCTCTCTTTCTAATAACTTCATTAATAACTGCATTAGAATGCTTTCAACGGCTCACGCCTCCATTACCAGCTTTAAAATGACGTTTAAAATGACGTTGATAATTCAACGGCCTGGAGTCAATTATTCCTTACTTATAATGTTACAAAAGATTCTATTTCAGATAAATGTTGTTCTTTTGAACTTTCTATTCATCAGTGAATCCTAACAGAAATGTATCACAGCTTCCACAAAAATATAAAGCAGCACAGCTGTTTTCAACACTGATAATAATGCGAATCAGAAGGATCATGTGACATCGAAGACTGGAGTAATGATGCTGAAAATGCAACTTCTCATCACAGGAATAAATTGCATTTTAAAAACAGAAATCATTTATTTTAAACTGTAATAATATTTCACAATATTATTGTTTTTAATGCAATTCTGATCAAATAAATGCAGCCTTGGTGAGCATAAGAGACATATTTTACTGACCCCAAACTTTTGAACAATATTTGCTGAGAAAAGCCACCAACTGAACATAAGTCAAAGAAGACATCCCATTATTGTTGCAGCAGGTTAAACAACTGGATAGACAAAAAGTGGCTTTAGAAGTCAAACACAATTTAAAGTCTACAGCAATCCACTTTACAATAGAACCTCGGGGTGTTTATAAATGACAGATTCTTGTCTGTGATATTTTGTATTTGTTGGATTACGTACATATGCATTTCATCTTGCCGTTCAACTGAATTTCTCTGATAGCAGCAAATCTCTTTGAAAATGTACATATGGATCAGTGACAATCATTTTTTCACAGCACTAATTAAGAATCGGGGAAAACTATGCTTTACAATACGAGAAATATTCCAGCATTAGTTACAGTAACAGCCTGAAGAACACATTTTTCTAAAATGATGCAGATGAACTTTGAAGGTAATGTGAAGAGTTGCCTTCAGCATGTCGTACTGTGCCAAAGCACTTCATTATAGCTAATCAAAAGTTATTAAAAAAACTATCTGGTGAGAGCAGGATGCTTCTGTGGGGAAACTAGTATCTCTTGCGGTGATAGCGAAAAGCAGGTCTTCACAAACCTGACATGTTTTAGCTTCGAGGGCATGTCTGGGCCTTGAGTTTATTTCCCTGACCTGGACTTTAAACTGAGAAATCTTCGGCTTCACTTGCGGCGTATAACTCATGTCAATCGGGTTTAAAAAGCTTTCTTGAGAAGAACTGAGTCAATAAAAGTTATTTTTTTGCCATTGATGGAGAACCTTTATAAAACGGATAGTTCCGGACCTTGATTCTGATTGGTTGAGTCACGTTCGAAGCTGGTGTAACCACTTTATTGCAACCACAACTGTTTCTGAGGGACTATATTGTTTGGTGGAAGAATACTGTTTTTGTTAATATCATTACACATTATTTGCTCTGTTTTACTTTGTGAAACCTTACTACGTATATGGAATAACCGTTTTATAAAAGCAATAAGCCCTGTGAAGCCGTGGTTTACAGTGAATTTCTAACAGCTAAGGGGGTGTTATAGATTATAACAGCTCCTTAGCTGTTATAAATTCACTGTAAGCCACGGCTTCTTGGGGCTTATTGCTTTATTAACATCCATGGAATCTTTCCATTCAACAAAAGGGTCTTTATAGTAGAAAACGTTATTTACACTATTAAAAATAAAGGTTTTCACAGCGATGCCATAGAAGAACCATTTTTGGTACTCTAAAGAACCTTTCAGTTATAGTTCCCAAAAGAACCATATTTTTCTTGGCGTAAAGAACATTTTAATAATCTAAAGAACCTTTTAACACTATAAAGAATCTTTTCTGGAATGGAAAGATTGCATGGATGCTGAAGGTTCTTCATGGAACCACTCATGCCAAAAATAACCCTTATTTTTAAGAATGTAGATTATTATTTTAAAAATGGTAAGAACTGCTCACTGAAAGTTTCTTTGAGAAACCTCAAATGGTTCTTCTTCAGCATCACTGTGAAAACTCCCTTTCGAACCTTTATTCTTAAGAGTGTAATATACACGGACTTAAGCATGTGGTCTGGGAAAACGCCCATCGTACTTTATTCTATATAATTGCGTTCCTATGGCTGACTCACCCGGGCAGGCAGGCTCCGCATACGGCGTTGCTGGTCGTGGAGCAGTTCCCCTTCTGGAAGCGGTTGAGGAGGGAACAGTCCAGACAGGGCTTGCATTTCTGCAGGCTGCGGTCCTCTTTGAAGCGACTGGCTCTGCAGGGCACACACTGGGCATCCTCCCCATAGCCAAAGCCACATTCCTGCGAGGATTAACGGAAGATATCTCACTGCCGAGGAAGGGAAGGGCGAGGGAGAGCCTCGCTAAAGAAAAGCACCAATGTGGACTAACAAGAGGGCGAGATGAAATAATGATCACAGTGTGTGTGTGTGTGTGTGTGAGAGAGATCCCCCCGCTGAACAAAGGCCAAGCTTCTTTTGAGAGAGTCTATCTTACACAGGCAATAATCTCCCTGACTCTCACGGGATCAATGAACAGCCTTCTGCTCCAGGCCCCCGAAGGGCTCCGCATTTGAATCAGAAAGGCCCACGGGGACGCCCATTGTTGGTTTATTGGGAGTTTATTGCAGAGGTTTTGTCAGGCCTCTCTTCGGCTCAAGTGTGTGTGAGAGAAATTGATATTGAGAGGTTTTGGTAAGCGTAATGCAGAAAGAGAAAGCCCTTAAAATAAAAGATTTACTGTGAAATACAACCCAGACATGTTCTTGACAGGTTTTGTGAGATTCACCCAGAAAAGCGATCTGTGTATGTACACAAGTCCAGATCATGAAAGAAACCTGAGGAGAGGTTTCTCAATGTCTAGCTGTGGGGTCGAGAGGAATTCTCCGCGCTCTTGAATAATACGAGACAACACCCTTTGCATTGTTCACTAAGTACAGGCCTATTTCATTTCAATAAAAGATCTAAAACAGTGCAGTTTGTGTAATAATATGAGGCAAATTGTGCCGTACACATGCAGAGTTTAAGCAAAACGTTACAAAGAGACCACAGGGAAAGCATCTACATGAGCATGCTCGCCATTTCAGATGACTGAGTGAGGATTTTAACAATAGAACAGAATACTGTTGCCTTTAGCTTAGTAATAGCAACAAAACACTAGTATCATGCACACAAGTGAGACAGAGAATTCATCTGGGAAGATGTTCTAATGGGTTCAGAATGGTCTTTCCTCGAACTGTGACGAACAACATTTGCTGGCCGTGTTTCTGTACAGCATATTGGACTTTGACGTTTTGCCACATTGAGTTTGACATTAAGAAGTGAAACGTAAGCAAACGTTTTTTCCAGGCTCCAGGATCTAAGCTGAAATCTAAAGTGCCGCTTAATTAGCATTACTCAGAACAGCTTCCCCCCCCCCCCTCCTGGTCCACCCACTTCAATAAACAATACCAGAGTCTTTTCAAAACTCTACTGACAGTAATCAATCTGGAATACGCTTGTTTGTTTTTAATCCTTTCCACATTGATATAATTATTGGGAATCTCGCGGGCATATATTCACCTTTCACTGAGTCCGATTTCTCAAACCATAAGTTAAGCAAAGCTTCGTGGAATTCAAATAATGCCTTATGGAACCATGCAACAGAATTCATCAATCAAGATCAATCAAGGCATTTATTAATGAAACCCACCAGCAATGTGACACTAATTCAAAACACAGTTTTCTGTTTTCAGTCTAGTTCTGACTAAAAAGATCTTGTGTTCTCTCGATACATGTTCATGCAAAAATGCTAATTCTGTCATCATTTACAAACTTCATTATGAGAACCCATGCAGAATATCTGCACAAATGAGTTCTGACATGCAGGGTGCACTCTTAAAAATAAAGGTGCTTCAAAAGGTTCTTCAAGCGATGCCATAGAAGAACCATTTTTCCATTCAGTCAAAGGCTCTTTAAAGAATCATGTCTTTCTTACCTTTTTATAATCTGAAGAACCTTCTTTCACCACAAAGAACCTTTTGTGAAACAGATATTAAAGGTTCTTTATGGAACCATTTAGACAAAAAGGTTCTTATATGGCATCGTGAAGCACCTTTATTTTTAAGAGCGTGCAGCAAGATTTCTGGTGAATGACTTAGAGTCCGTTTCTCACACAAAGCTATTGTATGGCATCAGAAGACTAGGAAATGTCAAAAATCATATCAATATCAAATCAAAGTCATACAGATTTGGAACAACATAGAGGATAGAATATTTATTCAATATAAGTATTGCTTTAAAAATGCACATTTATTTTACACGTTTATTTTTATTTGTTAAAATAAAATAATAAAGTAATGATTTTGTGACATATTTATACAATTTAAAATAACCATTTTCTATTTTAATATAAACAACCAGTCAAAGGCCGGAAAATATTTCATATTGTAAAATAATATAATTAATAGTATAATAACATAAAAAATAAAATATAATTTTTTTTTTATATAATAATACAATTATTTATTATTTATAATAATAATAATATTAATAATAACAATACTGTAAATGGTAATATTGTAAAATATTGTTGCAATTTTTTTTTAAAAGTCTCAATTTGAATATATATTTTAAAATGTAATTTATTCCAGTGATGGCAGAGCTGAATTTTCATTGACATGCTCAGTTATAATCAGTTATTCAGTTTTTGCTGCTTAATATTTTTGTGGAAACCATTAAACATTTTTTCAGGATTTTTTCGTGACTATTAAGTAAAAAAAAAAAACAGCATTTATTTGTAATTTAAATCTTTTGTAGCATTATAAATATCTTTACTGTGACTTTTGGATAATTTAATGTGTCCTTGTGGAATCAAAGTATTACTTTTTTTTTTTTTACTTACTCCAAACTTTAGAATGGTACAGTATCGTGGTTTCCACAAAAATACTAAGCAGCACAACTGTTTTCAACATTGATAAGAAATGTTTCTTGAGCACCGAATCTAAATGACATTCTAAAATATATTACAATAAAAAAAAAAGTTATTTTAAATTGTAATAATAATATTAATACAAAAATGTTTTCTTTATTTTTGAACATATACATGCAGCCTTGGTTAGCATAAGACACTAAACACAAAAACTCTTTAACTTTTTTTAAAGGAAAAAAAAGACTTCTTGACATCTTAGAAATCTGCATCTTCAGATTTATAAACAGCACAATCTGTAACCGTGATCCATTAAACAAACACATCTCCTCAAACAATCCCGTTCCCACCAGTCACATTCCAGCAGAGGAGCGTCATGCGGAGCAAAGTGAGAGGACCTTTGTGGTTTGATATCACCCTGCACTATTGTTTTTTTCCCAGCTGCCCCTTCCCAAATCAGGTCAGCCTTACCAGCCTGCATTTCCACCACACTGAGCTGGATTAGAGAAGAGGCTCATATATCGTTAACGTGGAGATCGGCTTCAAACAGGGGCCTTCTTTCTACACCTCGATCCAGTTTCCCAGCTTGGGCACACATGGATTACTGGCCTGCATGAGAGAGCCAATGACAAGAGCTCTCCACAAAGCCTGGCCCGGGGATCAGACGGGGTTCTGCCACTGTTAGAGAAGACCGATTTGGCTCTCTCAACACAGGCCCTCCAAAGACTGCATATAGGGTGCCTGAACAGAAAGACAGCTGTTGTTGCCTGGCCACAGCCCATATAAGACCTTCCTCTCCAGCAGGGCATGAAGGATCGGGTGGGGGGGCGGTGAATAAAAGAGGTATGGTCACTCTGTTTGAAGGCATGATGCCATTCCCGGAGAGATAATCAACAAGAGAGCGAAGGGGGACAGAGAAATCTAAGGAGCTCTGTAACCCCCTGTGGTTTGTCTGTTGGAGTGTGCTGCTGGGATCTTCCAGTGTTTAGAAGTTCAAACAGACCGCTAAACCTGAGATAAAAGCTATTCAGGCTCCCAAATACAGCTCAGAATGAGTCTACGTGTCAGAGCTGTGGCTTAGTAGATTTCACTGCGAGCTGTGGTGCTAATATTGGCAATAAGAGTTTGAATCTGACTCGCAACATTTCCTAATTCTGTTTCCCCCAACATTTTCCGTTCTCTCTCTGTATTATCATTTCAGCAAAAAATGTCATAACAGAATGTGTCTACGTGTCAGGGCCGTGGCTTAGTTGTTATCACTGTGAGCTGCGGTGCTCATAACAGCAACGGGAGTTTGAATCTGGCTCGCAACATTTCCTAATCCCGTTTCCTCCAACTTTTTCCGTCCTCTCTCGGTGTTATTATTTCAAGAAAAAATGTCAAAAGCAGAATGTTTCTAAGTGTCAAAGCTGTGGTTGTTCACTGTGAGCCGCGGTGCTCATAAGGGCAACAGGGGTTTGAATCTGTCTCGCAACATTTCATAATCCTAACTGGACATCAGATAAAAGCCAAAAGGATTCAGGCTTCTGAATAGACTCAGAATGTGTGTATGTGTCAAAGGCGTGGTTTAGTAGTTATTTCTGAAAGCTGTGGCACTCAAAAAAAAAACAGTTAGAGTTCGAGTCTTGCTCGCAACATTTCCTAATCCTGTTTCTTCCAACATTTTCTGTCCTTTCCCTGTTATCATTTTTATTTTAAAAAAATTCAAAAAGCAAAAAGTGTATATGTGTCAGATACATGGCTTAGCAGTTATTGCTGTGAGCTGTGTGCTCAAAAGGGCAATTGGAGTTTGAATATGGCTCACAACATGTCCTATTCCTGTTTTCTCCATAATTTCCTATCCGCTCTCTGTTATCATTTCAATAAAGAAATATCAAAAGCAGAATGTGTCTTTGTGTCACAGCCATTGCTTAGTAGTTATTACTATGAGCTGTGATGCCCATAAGAGCAGTGGCAGTTCGAATCTGGCTTGCAACATTTCACAATCCTAGCTGGACATCAGATAAAAGTAAATGAGTATTCAGGCTCGCGAATATGGCTCAGAATGTGTCTACATGTCAGAGCTTTGGCTTAGTAGTTATCACCATAATCTGTGGTACTCATAAGGGCAAAAGGAGTTTGAATCTAGCTCGCAACATTTCATAATCCTAGCTGGATGTAAGAAAAAAGACAATGAGGATTCAGGCTCTCAATTATATTGCTCAGAATGTGTCGATGTGTCAGAGCTGTGGCTTAGGTTCACATAATGGTTCAAATCTGGCTCACAACATTTCCTAATAGTGCTTCCCCCATCATTTCCTGTCCTCTCCTGTTATCATTTCATCAAAAACTGTCAAAGGGAGTCACAACACAAACTAATGGTTCCCTCCCCAACACAACTCCTGTCTCCCATTGGTCAGCCAAACAGGTAGAACTGCTCCTATATAATCTATATTAAATAGATTTATTATAGATATAATATATAATCTATAATAAATAGATTTGTTTTGGCAGAGCCATGTTAGAACAGTTAGCACACATGCGTAAATTGATCTGTTGTGCTCATGAGGGCAATCTGAGTTTGAATCCAACTTGCAACATTTTCTAATCCTGTTTCCTACATCATTTCCTGGCTGCTTCCTGCTGTTGTTTTTAAAAAAGTCAAGAGGTCAAGAGGTCAATACACACTATAATGCCCAAACAGTTACAATAAGACAGTGATCAGGCCAAACTACTGCCTGTTTTCACATTCCAGAATCATCCAGGAACAATCTTGCCTAAGAGGACTCACCAAACCAGTACCTGCAAGTACCATTTTTCCACTATCTCCAGATCAGATTTGAGTGAGAATGCCAAGCAAAACAGCAGGATGGATGTGTGATAGAGGGGAAAGTTGCATGGAGTAAAGCAAGTTCAGACACACAAGTGTTTTGAAGTCATTATATTCAAACCCCAAAAACACTCTATTCTACTAAATTATCCTGAAGTATTGCTCATCAGTACTTCCTATCAAAGCAAAGGGTGAACTTCTTACTTCACCCAACAGGTAAGCTTTAAGGGTAAATCTCATGAAACCTGTCACCCCAAAATCAAAAGAAGAAAATTATATTTTGCTAAAATAAATTCAGCTTGGGTATATTATAGTATTAAAAAAAATCACTTCATTACAGCAATGTGCAAACTTTATTTGATCCATATATAACCTTTATATGTACTTAATTGTCATAAAAGTAATGTAACAATACAAAATATCAATGATCCTAAAAAAGACTTTAGTGTGTCTATACAAAAAAAAAAAAATTCTTTATTTAGTCTTTATTTTTTCTTTACTAAATGAATTGAAAGTGAATATATTAAAAAGGCTAAAATAAGCCAAAAAAAACTGTTGCTAAGATGGGTTTCATTTAGCCGCTCAAAAAGTTGAGATGCAATGTGAGTGAATGTTTATGAGGTCTGTTTTGAAGAAACTGCACATCTGCATAAGGTGCTAAGATGGGTTTCATTTAGCCGCTCAAAAAGTTGAGATGCAATCCTCCATGATGCTTAGCAGTCAGGAATGTGAGTGAATGTTTATGAGGTCTGTTTTGAAGAAACTGCACATCTGCATAAGAATGAATTTGTTGACGGGTTGAGAAGATAATTTATCAAAAGCCCTGATTTATTTCCAGTATCCTTTAAAGCACTGGTCTCAAACTCAATTCCTGGAGGGCCACAGCTCTGCACAGTTTAGTTCCAACCCTAATCAAACACACCTGAACCAGCTAATCCAGGTCTTCAGGATCACTAGAAACTTCTAAGCAGGTGTGATTTGGAGCTGGTTGGAGTTAAACTCTGCAGAACTGTGGCCCTCCAGGAATTGAGTTTGAGACCACTGCTTTAAAGCAATAGTTGAAAAGCAATGAAAGTCATCATTTATTCACCCTCATGTTGTTCCAAACTCCTCCTATCTGTCCAACTTTGTCCGATTTGTGAAGAAATCTTTTGAGTCAGATCTTTTCAAGAGCGATGGGCAGCACAGTTGTAAAACTTCTGTGCTTCTGTCTCAAATGTGAAGCACACTGCATCAAAATGTATATAATAAAATGTAAAACATATATTGGAGCTTGTGTTACCACGTCACCAAGGGAGGGCGGGCGATGCATAAAACATCACTAAAACACTGTTAACTAAATATCTGTGATCAACCTCAAGATCCCACTGAGGTGTCAATTTGCTATGTATTGAAGCTTCGGATCATTGTTTGAGTTGACAAAACCACCTGACTGATTCGTTCTCAAATCAAACTGATTCAGTACCCGAGATTCGATGATCCAGTTGCAGTGGTTAACAGCCTACTAGACGCATCTGCATGCTAAATTCTCCTTTTCAGTTTTGAATGACATGAGGCTGTGTAAATGATTTCATTTTTGTGTGAACTATCACTTTAACAATTACAAAATGCCTTATCAACACAACTTTAGCTTAGCTGTTATCGCCCTTTTAGGTGAAAAACAGTGTGTAGGTGGGGTTTTACAAGCTGTTTGACTAGTCGTAGATCTCTGAGAAACAAGCAAAAGGGCGTCATGTGAACTTTTCTTCTGCTCTTACAAAACAAATCATCTGGAAGAGCTTCTGAAGTGTCAGACACTAAAACAACAAAAATATTAAGGTGTTGCTGTCGTTATTACAGCTATTCTAAGGTTAAGTGTAATTTCTATAGTAAAGATAATGACTCTTTTTAAACAGGTTTCCCCAGCACTCCTCCCATCTGCCATTGGTCACAACAAACAGATAGCCCGCCCCCAAACCTACGCCATTGGTTGAGCCACTGATGCTGTTGCTGGGCAGGTCGGGATGTTCAAACAAACAAACCAATGTTTTGATAGCTCCACAAAATAAACCTACTCCTACTAGTATCTGCATATTAAACTGGGATAAGAGAAAGTATTTTAACATCGAAACTGAAGTAACTCAAACACCACATGATATTGTCCTTGGGTACAAAGAATAGGGTAAACCACTAGTGCTTTAATGGAAAAAGTAGGCAATCATTCACTACCTCCTCAGGCCCCAAAGCATCAATTGGCCGAAAACATCTGAAGCATTGAAGAGTATAAGCAATAAGTGTGTGTTCATGTGTACCGACATGAAAGTCGTGTGGTTAAAAGTAGCATGTGCACTACATTTGTACACATCCAGCAGCCTGATGTACCTGCATTTACCCAGGCATAAACTGTGTAATGATTTCCACACTCCAGAAATACCCCAGACCTCCGTTTAGACTAGGTTTGTAATACAAAACCACTTAATTTCTTAACATGCCGTGTTTACAAGGCCTTGAAATTCTCATGGGTGGCAATGACATTAAAAGGCTTGAAGGAAAAATAGAAGATTGTGAGCAGAAGTGTGGGTGTAACTGATTAAAGCGTGGCCAGTGCTCTACAAAGGAGAACAGCGGTTTACCCTCTCTCTTTATGAAAAGGAGGAAGCAATAAATAATCGGTCGGGACAAGCTATTCAAAACATTGGCATCCCCTCTTTATTGGTGAACTCTTTGCTTTTGGCCAGTTTGGTCTGGAAGTCTTTCATGAACTCTGTGAAACTGATGGGAACGCGTCTCTCGGTCCCAGATTTAATCGCATACGTGGTCTTTTTTAAAAACAACTCTGAGTATAAGGGTCTAAATATATCTGCATATTAATCTGACTGTGGTAGGTGCTTGAACGGAAAGAATTCCAGAATTAAATGGTTAGTTCACCCGAAAATGAAAAGTCTGTCATTAATTACTCACCCTTGTGTTGTTCCAAACCCGTAAGACCTTCGTTCATCTTCGGAACACAATTTAAGATATTTTTGATGAAATCTGAGGGCTCTCTGACCCTCCCATAGACAGCAAGGTAACTACCACATTGATCGTGGTAGTTACCTTGCTGTCTATGGGAGGGTCAGAAAAGTACCAAGATGATCGACAAAGTAGTCCGTGTGACATCAGTGGTTCAACTGTAAAGTTACGAAGCTACGAGAATACGTTTTTGCGCAAAGAAAACTAAAATAACTACTTTATTCCACATTTTCATTTCTACTGTGTCACTTGTGGACGCGCGTTCACGACAGTATCATGACGCGAACGTGTGGCGGCGCAAATAAAGTCGTTATTTTTGTTTTCTTTGCTCAAAAAAGTATTCTCGTAGCTTCGTAACTTTACAGTTGAACCACTGATGTCACACGGACTACTTTGTCGATCATCTTGGTACTTTTCTGGACCTTGAAAGTGGTAGTTACCTTGCTGTCTACAGGAGGGTCAGAGAGCCCACAGATTTCATCAAAAATATCTTAAATTGTGTTCCGAAGATGAACGAAGGTCTTAGGGGTTGGGTAATTAATGACAGACTTTTCAGTTTTGGGTGAACTAACCGTTTAAGCTCAAAGGGAACCAATTCAAAGGAACAGAGTGCTTCGGATATTATTTCTTGATTTAAGAAATTAAAAATACAAGTTTTATACGTGGACCAATGTTTCAAATTAGGCTAAAAGAAAAAATAAGTAGCCTTATGCAGAACTGGCAAACCTTGGATAGCTCTTGTCCAGCATCACACTGCCGGCAGGGAATACAGTTTCCAAACGTATCCTTGTATTCCTGCTCCCTGCAATCTCTTCTCTCCTCTGCCATAACTGCAAACTGTGAGGAACATGAAACAAACATGATTAATTATTCCATAATATCATTGGAAGTTTACCAAATTGGAGTGCAAGTAAAAGGTAGTGTAAATGATAGTGTACAGTCATTTAGAGCAAATCTCAGAATATCATTTCTAGCAAAAGGTGTTAATATGAACGAAACATACCATAAGACACAGTGGAAGGACAAGTATCCACTGAAAAGGAAAACTGGAGAGGATCAGAACCCGGGGCATTGTGAAAGGTATTTCCCACATACACTGTGAAAGCACAAATCCTTTGATGAATGATTAATGGAGGACACTATTTGCATTATCTTTCAAAACGGTGTGAACACCAAGCAAGCAATAACTACTATTATAAATAAATACCCTTTTGTGCTTTTTTAATGTTCATACTAAAGCATAATAAAAAGGCATAATCTGTAGATGTTTAATTTTTAAAGAGGTTTAACACTGACTGAGTTGGAAGAAAAGTCCTTCTATATGATTTTATTTAGCTGGAAGTATCAGCCAATTCAGATAATTAACAACATACAGATGCCGATCATTAATAATATAGTAATATTGGCCAATAATGATCTATCAGACTCAATAATAACATGATAATTTACACACACACTAGGGCTGTGCAATATATAGAAATTATCGAAATATCGCAAATGTACATATCGCAATATGCATATCGCTACAGCTTGCAATATTTGGGGCCATGAACAAAAGACAAAGAGAAAATCACTCACTGCTCTTACCTAAATAACTTTTGTAGCTTAAATAAGAATCAGTGTATATTGAAATCAAAGTGTAAATACTAAGCAGTGTTTTATTTTTCCTTTTTATTATTCAGTTCCTAAACTCATGTTAAAATTATTACACTAATGTTAAAATGACATTTTTATGTAATGCTTGAGTAAAACACATACCGTTCACTTTCAGAAGTTGTTGTAGGGGTGCTTTCTTATTAGAATCAGAATCAGAATGAGCTTTATTCACCACTTAAGTGTGCGCAAATGCAAGGAATTTGTTGTGGTTTTACAGGAACTCTTGGTACATACATACATACAAATAACCATATATACAGTATATGGCTAATTACGGTATACGGTATTATCACGATATTGAAATTAAGTTAAAAAAGTGTATAATACATATATAATAATATATAATTCAGTATAACAGGTTTAATAACTTTTTCTTATAACAAAAATAACTGAACATTTAAATGCAATAAAGCAATACAGAAAAATGTATAAAGTTAAAAGTTTTACACAGATTAAAGTGCAAAAGAACTATAAAGACCAATAGGTATCACTTTACAATAAGACCTCATTAGTTAACCTTAGTTAATTCATTAACATTCACAACGAGCAATAGCTACATTTGCTACTGAAGTTATTAATCTTTGTTTAAAAAATACAAGTCTTCGTTCATGTTAGCTCATTAAATAACACAGCTGCAACTCTCGATTTTCACATCCTGTTATTAAATATTGGAATACCTAAGATTAATGAATGTTCAGAAGAATTTTTCATCATTTTCATCATTGCGAATGTTAATGCATTAACTAAGGTTAACTAATGAGGTCTTATTGTAAAGTGATACCTATTGGTCTTTATAGTTCTTTTGCACTTTAATCTGTGTAAAACTTTTAACTTTATACATTTTTCTGTATTGCTTTTTATTGCATTTAAATGTTCAGTTATTTTTGTTATAAGAAAAAGTTATTAAACCTGTTATACTGTATTATATATTATTATATATGTATTATACACTTTTTTAACGTAATTTCAATACCGTGATAATACCGTATACCGTAATAAAAGCATTAGCAATTAATCGCAACATGAAAATTTGATACCGGCATATCCCTAATATATATATATATATATATATATATATATATGCAAAAAACATAAGAACATTGCACATTTATATATTATATGTAAACAACTATATATTGACATATTAACTGTATATATATCAGAAAAATTATAACCCTCCTTCAAGAAAAAAAAA